AGCCGAAAGTTCGTCGCACTCACAACTAAGACAAGGGACAGCAGAAAACCCCTTCCCCCTAGACTACTGCACTCCAAGAGTGGCCGGGTCCTCTTCCGGAACATTAAAAAATAGTATAAGTTTATTCCAGGGGATTAATTCCTCCGGCTGGACAGGCTAGAACAAAAACCATGATGCCAATACTCCGCTGTCCTCGTCAACTTGTCGAGCTTGGCAAGAAGCGCGAAAATTTATTCATGCGTCATGCTCCTCACAAGGCCGTTTCCGCTAAAAAATCTAGCGCCCAGGACCTGGCCGGCGTCAGCATCGCGCAGAGCATGCGTTTTTGTGGCTAGAGTCTGCTTCAAAAAGTGCTTCCGGAAGGCAGCATGCGTTTTGGTCGCCAGAGTCTGCTTCAAAAGTGCTTCCGAACAGCAGCATGCGTTTTGGTGGCCAGAGTCTGCTTGAAAAAGTGCTTGCGGATGCGTTTTGGTGGCCAGATCTGCTTCAAAAAGTGCTTACGGAAGGCACCCCCGGGCCGAAAGTTTCGACCCACGGCACATGTTGGATGGCATGCAGACAGTGAAGGCTCCCGCGGAGTAGCGGAGTGCCGAAAAGTAGCGTTTTCCCTACGCCTGCTAGCGGAGAAATTAATACCCCGTTTTGAAAATATAGTTAGTAGCTCCGGAGGAGGCCCCCAGCCCCATTGTGTCAGGAGTCTATGGGGAAGAGGGCGGGGTATGGGTGTAAGAACCCCAAGATGTTGGTGGGTCGAACTATCGGCCCGGCGCAGCATGCGTTTTGGTGGCCAGAGTTTGCTTCAAAAAGATGCCACCTTTTTGAAGTTTGGGCAAGACCAGTGCTCCCCGAACGCATGCTGCGCCAGGCCGAAAGTTCGTCGCACTCACAACATAAGACAAGAAGACAGCAGAAAACCCCCTCTCCCCCTTAGACTCCTGCACTCCAAGAGCGCCGGGTCCTCCTCCGGAACATTAAAAATAGTATAAGTTTATTCCAGGGGATTAATTCCTCCGCTGGCCAGGCTAGAACAAAACCATGATGCAATACTCCGCTGTCCTCCGTCAACTTTGTCGAGTCTTGTCAAGAGCGACGAAACTTTATTCCTGGTCATGCTCCTCACAAGGCCGTTTCCGCTAAAAAATCTAGCGCCCAGGACCTGGCCGGCGTCAGCATCGCGCAGAGCATGCGTTTTTGTGGCTAGAGTCTGCTTCAAAAAGTGCTTCCGGAAGGCAGCATGCGTTTTGGTCGCCAGAGTCTGCTTCAAAAGTGCTTCCGAACAGCAGCATGCGTTTTGGTGGCCAGAGTCTGCTTGAAAAAGTGCTTGCGGATGCGTTTTGGTGGCCAGATCTGCTTCAAAAAGTGCTTACGGAAGGCAGCATGCGTTTTGGTGGCCAGAGTTTGCTTCAAAAAAATCCCACCTTTTTGAAGTTTGGGCAAGACCAGTGCTCCCCGAACGAATGCTGCGCCAGGCCGAAAGTTCGTCGCACTCACAACATAAGACAAGAGGACAGCAGAAAACCCCCTCTCCCCCTTAGACTCCTGCACTCCAAGAGTGCCGGGTCCTCCTCCGGAACATTAGAAATAGTATAAGTTTATTCCAGGGGATTAATTCCTCCGCTGGCCAGGCTAGAACAAAACCATGATGCAATACTCCGCTGTCCTCCGTCAACTTTGTCGAGTCTTGTCAAGAGCGACGAAACTTTATTCCTGGTCATGCTCCTCACAAGGCCGTTTCCGCTAAAAAATCTAGCGCCCAGGACCTGGCCGGCGTCAGCATCGCGCAGAGCATGCGTTTTTGTGGCTAGAGTCTGCTTCAAAAAGTGCTTCCGGAAGGCAGCATGCGTTTTGGTCGCCAGAGTCTGCTTCAAAAGTGCTTCCGAACAGCAGCATGCGTTTTGGTGGCCAGAGTCTGCTTGAAAAAGTGCTTGCGGATGCGTTTTGGTGGCCAGATCTGCTTCAAAAAGTGCTTACGGAAGGCACCCCCGGGCCGAAAGTTTCGACCCACGGCACATGTTGGATGGCATGCAGACAGTGAAGGCTCCCGCGGAGTAGCGGAGTGCCGAAAAGTAGCGTTTTCCCTACGCCTGCTAGCGGAGAAATTAATACCCCGTTTTGAAAATATAGTACTATAGTAGCTCCGGAGGAGGCCCCCAGCCCCATTGTGTCAGGAGTCTATGGGGAAGAGGGCGGGGTATGGGTGTAAGAACCCCAAGATGTTGGTGGGTCGAACTATCGGCCCGGCGCAGTAGGTCTTTCATCTTTCTGGCACTGTAGGTGCAAACAGCGCGTCCCAGCCTCTGCAGCTCCTCCTCGAGCAGTGCCCCGGCAGTGAAGTCTACGGATCCTTGCAAAGCACTTCGTATGACAAAGACACTTCCATTGCTCCAGGCGAGGCTGCGAAGTCTGCCTATAGTAGCGGAGGTGTAGGCCATGGCATAGGTGCGGGGGAGTTCTACCTGCTTCCTTTTAACCCTGGGTGCACCTGTGAAAGAGCGCAAGGCGAGATCACACAGTTACATCCTGCTCACTACATCGTACAGTCAAATGCCCCCAACACCCAAAGAGTCCGTAAACGAGCTCCGGATGGGTGTCGGCATCCTCGCAGGAAACTGCGAAAGCACGTGTGCCCAGGTACAAAAAGGCTGCTGGCGTCTACTTTCACTCTGCAGCTTCATAAAGGACGACTTGCTGAGCGATGCTGAGAAAGTTGGGCCAAGGGCGCAACTGGGACAGTACATGCATAGGCCGCATAGATTGTCATTGATTGCTGTTCCCCGCGGTCCGCGCACTGGCCGTTCCGTTCCATGTCGTCCATGAACTTCTGAGGAACATCTAAGGTATGGCCTCGGCCCATTGCCGCATTGGGGAAGGTTGAAATTAAAGGAATTGCCCTGCGAGTGCTTTTCTTCATGTATATATCTGAGTTTTAAAGATCATACACAAGCACATTTTATTCACAATATTGAATTTAACGATATTCGTGATTTTGCAGCATGCATGCAGACTCTGCTGCTGCGCCGAGGCCGGCGCTGCACATGTTGCACTGAAACCTGACAGGGGCGACGGATAACTACGTGTAGCATGCAGTCATGCAGCAGACTCAAGCAACACAAAAGCGACATCCACGAAGGCCTTGAGCTGGTTTCCCAAATCAGAAACTCGATTTACCATCGCGTGGCCGCCTCTCCTAAAATCGGAACAGCCAAGAGGCTTCGCGTTGTCCTTCATACTCCACTTGAAGTGCGGATTGGCATAGCACCTGCCACGATCTACAAAAGGCTACTCCAAGGAAGTGAGGCGTGTCCAGGTGCGAGAAGCCGCCCATGCAGCAGGAAGCCTATGAGCGACAGTACTGCGACAGTTCCCTGCCTTGAGCATCCCACAATCTCGGAGGTCGGATTCAAACGTCGAGGCGCATGTCATTTTGAAAAGTCACTTAGTCCACAAATATGACAAGATGTGTGGTGGCTTCTCCTTATTTGCGTGACGACCGACAACCACGACCTCCGGCAACTCTGGCTTTGCCGGGGTCTGGTGCTCTCACGCAACAGGCCATAACAAACCATCCTACTCACGAGCCTGCAGCGCGGACACCGAAGAGGTTCGTCATCGCCGGTCATGGAAATCGGCCTTATAATTCAATTCTTTCTGCATTCTTACTGAGTGTCAGGGATTGGGGCTTATGGACGTACGGCAGTGGGGTACAGTGGTGATGTTCAGGTTGTCAGGAACCTGCCTAGAAAACCATCAGTGGCGCAGCATCACGGACCCACTCAATGCAAGCCAAACAAGATCAAACAAGCTTCCGAGACTCAGGACTCTAAGGCAAGAGCAGTGAGGTGAAGTCGGCACTGTCTGCAAAGGGTGTCAAGACCTCGCAACGAAATCGTTGCCATGCGGACATCTTGAGCTAGGGGATGGCGAGACTCCTCGAAGTCTCCTTGTGGAATCGGAGCTCAAAAGCCTCGTAATCAGACTCCTGGGCCTCCTTATCCCAACCTTCAAAACACATCTCTCTCGCCCTATCTCGCCCTGAGCGTGGAACCGCTGCCAGTGGCAGGGGCAAGGAGGCGGCCAACTCGCCGGGCCGCAGCAAGGCCGCATCCATGGTGGTCCACAGAAACCTCAAAAGGCGAAGAGCAGATCTGTCGAATTCTATCAACATCTCAAAGCCCCAAGAAATAAAAGCGCGACCTGCATCAAGCCCCGGGGGGCCGGCAGGGGCTTCGGGGCACAAGTCGCTTGCAGAGAGGCGTGGAGGGAGGGGGGGAGAGACATGCCTGAAACACAAAAACTTTAGCGTCCGTGACTTTCTTGAAACTTTTTGAAGATGAGTCAAGACCGGGGATGTGGTGGCTGGGCTTTCCACTGCCGGGGAGGTCATGACCAAGGCTCCGCTCATGCGCTTTGGAGGGGGATCTCAGTGACTGAGGGGGGCCTCGCACAGCAACAAATGTTCCCAGGGCAGGAAGACAAGCCCACGCGCTTTGCTTTTTCAGACAACCTCCCCCCTCCCAGACCTATGTCTTTCTATGATGAAAGCTCTTCTGGGAAGCCGACTGCCTTGCAGCATTCTTCTCTCGGGCCACGTCCCTCTCTGTGGGGCTCGTGCCTTGAGCTCAGGAGCCACTGTTGCTGCATCTTTGAATATGCCCACTGTCTAGTATACCCCAAGAAGCTCCTGCCGAAGCCTACCGCATCCTACGCCAAAGCTAACAAAGCCTCCTAGGATCTCTCTAAGCCGGACGTGTACTACATCTGTAAGGAAACGACGCAAAGTCAGTAGAAGCCCAGCCCTGCTATGTCCTGCTCAAGCCCCAAGCCTCTTGAGGCTCCTCTAAGGAAGGGAAGCAAAAGTGCAGCCAGCGCCATTGACAGGCTCCATGGGCTTCTTAATGCGGCTCACAAAAGGAGATCAATGGAATGGAGAAGTTGAATGACGTCTGAGGCTTCGAGTGTTATACCATGGCTGCCGCCATAGACACCATTCAACTTCTGACATATTCTGAAATCTCGGAGGATCTGAGGACCTCGCTCGGACTCGTGGGGCTGGTCGGGGCGTCGCAGGGCGCCTCCTACGCAGTTGGATTCTGAAAACCAGACCCGAGCCTCCAGACTTATAAAGCGTCGTGCGCGACACCGCGACACATGGGTAACACATGGGTCGCACATGGGTCGCACATGGGTCGCACATGGGTCACACATGGGTCACACATGGGTAACACGCAAGAATCCGGCTGGGGTTGGGGAGCTGGGGCTGGGGGATCTGTTGCTCACGTTGTGACACAGCATCCTTATCCACATGCAAGATCCCCCCCATCAACCATCATCAGGCGTCATAGGCACCAGAAGCTCTGAAGAGCCGCTGATACCCCACATCTCCAGATGTGTGCGCCCCGGCCTCGTGGATCGACCCGTAAACAGCCTCCAGGGGCCAAACCAATTTGGTTGAGCTTGGTAGCAGCTACATTAGGCAGACGCGAACCTTTCGCCTGCAACTTTTGACCATCAAGCTCATCTGCTGGGGCCCCTGAAAGGCGTTCCATCCTGACCTCTGCATCGATGCCCACCAGCGGCCGTGGGAGCTTTGCTGGGTTGCCTGGTTTGCCGGGGGATGCCGTGGTTAGGCGTGTCAGGAGGACACCATGCAACATCATGCGACTCTGGGTTCTGGCAAAGGAAACCGCATGAGAGTGACACGCCCATGTCTTGCAAGCTGGGAAAGCAAGGGCGTCGCGCCTGCATCCAAAGAGCAAACGTTATCCGACTCTGCCTCAAAGGCACATTCATGAGGAACAACTCTTGCCGTGAGTGCAGCAAGTGGTGCAACAGCCTCTTCCTCGAAAGGGTTCTTCAACAGGCTATAGGGCTCCACCCGGCGTTACGTGATTTTCCATTCCACACATGCAAGCCAAGGCTGCGGCCACCCTGGTGCGCCGCTGGGTGGGCGTCCGCTGGGTAGCTGCCCGGGCACCCCCAGTGAGCGCAGCCCGAGCCGGGTAGCCTCCACAGGTTGAACACAGACTGAACACAGGTTGAACACAGGTTGAAAACACGTATCATCTCCTGTAGGTCCTATATGATATGGTCAACTATATGATATGGTCAAGGTCCTGGTCTCAGCTTGAAAAACCGATCTGGTGGCCCCCTTTTGGTGTCTCAAAGCAGTTGAAGCCTCGAGGATGCGAGGTTGCGAGAGCACTTTTGATGTGATTGGGAATCAGCCCGCCAAGTTGGGGGATTCGGATTTGCGGGTTGAATGGTTCGAGAGGGCTTTACAGACTTCCTGACAGACCTCCTCAACCTTTCTTCACAGCTCAGGGGAGACTTCCCATGTGGGGCAAATAGGTAGCGGTACCGCAGCGAAGGCTAGCCGGGCTGCTGTCCAAAACAACATCTGCGGCCGCTTCTTAAATGCTGTGGAAAGAAGCTCCTTCTCCCGCGCACGCCCCCTTTTAGACAAAAAAGCGTATCAACTCAAGAGATAAAGGCCTGGAGCGTTTTGTGAGCCACCAAGAGAGTGGAAAACGACAACCAAAAAATCCCCAAGGAGCTCTCTTGTGGTTTGATCTGACTTGAACTAAACATGTTGCAGATCTCCACTGTAAAACGCAAGCCCCCCTCTACTCAGCCCGTAGTTCCCAAACTTCACGGAAGACCTCCCGTCGGGGGAGCCATGGCTCCTAGGCCCAAATCGATCTTCTCTGTTTGAGCCATGGTGGGCGCGGGCAAGCAAGGCCGACTCAGAGCATCTCTGAATCTCTGAATGGTATTGCAACCGAAAGGCAGAAGGTGATATCCAGAAGGTGGCATGCAGAGCACAACTGGAGCACAGGTTTTTTTGTCTAAGAACGATTCTGTTTCTGGGTCCACAACAGCATGCAAAGGGCTCCGCTGATTCTCTGATGCCCAATCGGACATCGAGCTATCAAAGGGTTCATAGGCGTGAAGCCCGTTTGCACGTGAAGCGATGATATGTCGCGCAGCAAACCCTCACATTGCAAGGGCCACTGGACAGTTCGGTGGCGGTGTGTCCACACACTCCTAGGTGTGCTATGTACGGCAGTGCAGACACAGGTGCTTGTCGATCGCATTTCAGTTCCGCCTTTTTGTCAGTGTCGCTTATTTTGGCTTAATGGTGTTTGAAAACGCCCTCCCCTCTACTCACACCTTTCCCGCCCTACACTTCTGCTGAGAGCTGAGCTCTCCAGCAACGTTTCTGTACAATCACTCATCAGGGCTTCTAAGAACCGCCAGCTAGAGATTTGAGAAGATCTCATCTGGAACCAATTTCCGTGGTTCTTTGCAGGTGCCTCAGACGGTGACGCACTGCATCCCAGCAAAGTGGACGAGCGCAGGTGAAAGCACACGTCGTTGATGCACTGGAGCAGCAAAGATGCCGGAGGTACGAAGTGCGGCGGCTTTGGAAGGTGGTATCTGAACGCCGCCCACGCAAGTCAGCTAGTGCTCTTGGTCTTCAAATGAGAACCCTGAATACGGAGTGATACGGAGTGTGCGTGCGAATCCTGACTCCCGGCCCAAGGTTGGCGGCCTGAGGTGGCTCTCTCTATAACTACAGCAGCTACAGGCGTCCTGCGTCCTAACCTCTTCCGATGGCTCATGATATCTCAGTATGGATAGACCATGATAGACCACGGGATGCGACCGATGAAGCTAAACAGCCAAATCCGGTCTCCAGCACTGCAGATTAGGTGAGAATAGATGTCTTGAACTGGGTTGTGCATGCGTGGCCGGCGCCCGAGGCTTGCACGAACGAACGAATTAGCCGAGCACACGGAGCTGAGGTTCAGAGGGGTGGGCTAACTTGTAAGATTTTGCGAGACTACAAACCGACATGAAGCGTACTTTGCGGTGGGAATTTCGGGGATCACCAGGCTTCCTCCAGTTGGACTGTCAAGTGGCCAGTAAGGGGAGCAGGGCTACTTAAGGTCAATAAGGCAGCCCGCAGGCGCCGTAGACGCTGCCTGACACTGCTACTTGCGTCTACTTGCTACTTGTACACGTGTGCTCCTCCTTCTGTGCACCCGATCTGACTGCCGCACGATGAACGCACTTCTCACCTAAGGTCGTGAGGTGTCACGGTTTCATCATTTTTAGCCTTGCTGGGAAAATGTATTCAGGTGAGTTTGGCTTCGCCCCTTTACTCGTAACTTGCACTGCTCACTGTGACAGCGACACCTGCTGACGAAATGGCCACATGGAAGCTGCCTGCAAGAGCGAGCGTTCAACAGAGGGCTTTCTGCAACGCATGTAGGAAGGACTCAGAGCTTACAGTCAAGTATGCTCTACACAAGTGACACTTTCCAACCTCCGGGCATACCTAAAGCGGCTAAGCCCCTGTGGTTGAGGGGTACAAGAACTGCCCCGTGCAATCGAGAAGCCCTTGCCAAGAACACGGCACGGACTTCAAAGTCACCGACCTTCTGCAAAGCGCTACATCCCATTCCCAACCGACCAAAAAACTCACTATTCAAAAGACTCTACCTGAGCCCTTCCCTGACACGGTTGGACATCTGTCTCTCCGTGCCTTGGTAGTGCCCAGTGGAGGCTAGTAGGACTGTCACGTGTGCTTTTTGGTTCGTTACCTGCCCTCACGGGGCACTGTCAAGAGCAACCCGACAGCTGTATCATCCGCAGACTCTTCACGACTCGGGCTGAACCAGCAGAAGTCTAATCGGCAACTCTAAGAAGTGCAAGGCCTTGCCAGCGAAAAGTAAGCGTACCTAGATTTACTGTCATTATGATAAATATGCATCATCACGATGATAATTATAGCTACTGTAATAAACTAAGGTTGTTTGATACAAAATCATAATTTAACAACAAATATAGTTGTGGCTGGAATTGCAGCTCTTGCTATGGCATCCTGCATGGTTTGGTAAGCCATCAGCTTTGTTGGCAACGGTCGACACGCCTACGTCTAGTATTTTACAAGCCGATAAAACTCTCAGAAGTAGCCGCAAAAAGACACGTTTGCCATAAAGGGGCTTGCTCAACGTGGGTTTGCCAGCTTTTTCTTCTGCTGGCCCTCACTCGTCTGGCTCTTCTGGATCAGGCCACGTTTCCCTCAACACCTTGTGCTTCATCGCCTGTCAGGCCCATGGATGTGCGTTGGAGAGATTCTTTTTCATCAAGCAAATCGTCTGCCTAGAACTCATCAATGACTCGACTTGAACTCAACGTCTGGTGGCCTCCACCACGAAACTCCGCGCCATATCTTCAGCATCAGGCACATCGAGCCTGGAGGTGGCCCGAGAGACAATGAAGCTACTTGTATTCATACATTTCGATGCTAATGATGCTACTACATTCCTTCGAGTAGTATTCGTATGCGCGTGTGCCAGAATATCATATGCCTGTTTCAATGACATTGCTATACTGCGTCAGTATAGTATATTATTCTGTTATTTGAATTATATTAGTATATAACCAGATTCTTGAGCTTCTCATGTTCTCATATTATTGTAGTCTTATACTCGTCTACTATTATATTGAGAATACTTCTATATACGTATATACATATATACTCTGATACTACTATACGTGTATTTAAGTATATTCCATGATTAGATGTACATGTCATTACATTCTTATAAGTACATAAATACACATTTGTAAAGTAGTATATTCTTGTACGACTAAATGGATATTGATATATCTAAGATTTTAAGGTTTAGTATGATTATTGTATTACATATTGTTACATTGTTGTACTATGATTATACTGATCACAATACTATACTAGTGTAGTACTGCATAATTTTGCCATATAGATTATAAACGTCTATTCTAATATTAGCACATTTTGGTATTCTTATACATCATATTCCTATGTTCGTTTAGGCTTATGTTCCCATAGTCTTGTATTCTTAAAGTCTTACATTCTCATATTCCGCTATTCCTACACTCTTGTATCATTCTGTTGCTGGAAAAATTTCATTCAGATATTCTTGCATTGATATCATCATATCAATACTTGACTGCTATACGGTTATACTACTAAACAAATTATACTATGATGCCATGATATTCTTATATTATTTTGTTGGTGTGTAAGTACATTATCTTCGTATAACTCTAATTCTGTAATTTTTGATAAAGCAATCAGCGTGACAGGAGAGCTATGCTGGAATGCATGCTAGCTATGGCGCGAACAGCCGATGGATGCACTCTGGTGTCCTGCGAACGACGAGGCTCGCTTTGTGGGTTTGAGCAGCTCTCAACTAAGCGCGATGCAAGATGTCCGACATGTTCCTGTACATGTCGTCCTTGAGACAGAAGTGATCAGGCCAGGGGCATCGGGTTCTTAGGGCGATCTCACCTTTAAACAGCAGTCAAGCATGCCACGAAGGGCAACACGCCCAAGAGCCAGGCAAATCCGTTCTCGATGTCTTTGAGAGTCAGCTCCTGCACAATGTGACACATGCGTGCGGGCTTGGCCGAAATGGAGGCGACAGAGAGCCAAGAATACAATGTGGGATCCACGGCGGCATTACTACATAGGACTTTACGATTTGAACCACCCCCACCCTAAACCCTAAGAGCCACAAACCCCGGCTGGACATCAGGCCTCGTTCCGAGCAATGTAGACGAGCAGGGTCAAGGCCATCTCGCATACACTGCCCGAACGCTCCATGGCGAAGACCATGATCTCAGGGCGCCGGCCGGGTCCCAAACAAAAACATTACTAGTCGTATGTTTGATGTACTGTAGCAAGCACGTAGGGAAACCCGCAGGCACTGACAGGATCCGGTGGGGACAGCCGAAAAAATTCCGACTTCGGCCACACCCTTTCCTAGCTATGCAACAGTCAAGCTGGGGGCACCCCCACCCCCATACCTAAACTCCAACCCTGAATCAATCCTGAACAGCAGGAAGCGAACTGCTATATGCGGGGCCTTGCGCACCAGCTCAGCACTTTGAGCAGCAGACTTGGTCGCCGGGAGGGCTTGCCATGAGTGGGACTGCTTAGGGCTCAGGGGGCTTGCAGGATTGCCGGTATGCGAAGAGGAGGCTTGGGGTGCAAGGAGGCCGAAATTTGCCAAGCGCGGTGTGGGCCAGGCGAACCCTGATAGTGCAATTTGACGGTCGCCCAAGATTCAAAGCCTTTGCAAATTAGAGCTGCGAACGCGTGGACCAGAGAAGCCAATCTTAAATTCGAGATTGAGTGCTGCAGGATACAGTAGACACTGTACTGTACTGTACCGGCCCTCGGAACGTCTCCCATCTCCAATCTACGTCCCTTCTTTGCAAATCCCAGGCCCGGTGCCAAGGGAGTGATCTCTCTGATGCACCGGCCGAACTGTCGACAGCACAAGTGCAGGGGCATACCATTCGGATCGTGAGCTCCCAGGAAGAAAAACACATTGCTGGCTTTGTGGACTTGGGTCATTTGAGCTCCTCTGCACAAACTGTTGGCATTGATCTCCTACTCGAACACACTCAACCTGCATTCCCTTCGCTGCCTCGTCCGTGTCCCCAGAGTTAAAGTATTCCAAGATCATCGCTTGAATTTCCCGCCTCGGATGATCAGCATTGTATAGCTGCTGTCAGCACACTTGAGCTCCTGCATTCTTGCGGAGCCGTGTCCAAGAAGTGACAATGAATCAACAGCTGAGAGCTATGCTTGAAGGCGGCAGTGCTCAAGTGCTTCTTGCTATACCTGCATGGAGCACTGCAGTCACGAGCAATTCTCTCAATGTAGACAATAGGCATAAGAACTGCATAGAGACTCGCATTCCGATGCCTGAGGCAAGCCTTTCCCACAAAAACACAAAGGCAGCTGCGCCACACTTGCTAGGGGGTTGTGGGGGGGAGGGTGGGCACTCGGGCGTCTTGCGCTGGACGGCCTAAGCGCTGCTTCTGAGAAACAGCCAAGGGCCATGCAGAGAGCAACAGAGAGAGAAACCCTAGGAAGGTCTCCTACAAGTTCCTGAGTAGCGGAGCTCGGGGGCTGTTAGGGCGCTTCACGGTGGTTCGAGCAGCCGCTCGAGAGACGCGTCTGAAAAATTCCTGGAGCTTCAGAAGTCTTCAGAGATTCAGACGAGAAGACCGGCGAGTGTTCGGGGGTGATGCCCTTGTCAGCCTACGTGAAGGGGGACAGAGGTAGAGAACGAGGAAGCCCTGAGTGACCTAAACCCTCACCCCACTGAAAGCTAACGTAGCTTGAATGTTTTCTCGAGCATTGAGAAAACCAACCGTGATCCCGACTGTCAACCATTTCCGTCACGTTAACATCCACTGAGCTGAGCTGCATCAAGGACCTTCAGTCCAGCGGTGTCTCCCAGTCGCAAAAGGCCTTTTCGGGACGATCGATTCAAAAACCCTAGGAAACCCCCCCCCCCCCGGCAACAAGGACTTGCATGGCTAACTCTGCAGAGAGATGAGGTCTCGATTGTTACGCATCTGCTGCCCATCGGCAATCACGTTCGTCAGTCACGTCAGTTCGCCATGATAGCCAAGGTTTCAACACGCAGGTTCTTTTGCATTTGGTGTCTGAGGGTCTTGAAGCACCAGACCACTAGATTTGGCGAGTCCGAGGTCGCTGGGGCAGGATCTGTGAACGCCATGTTTAAAGCGTAGTGACTGTGTCGTTCGAAGTTCTTGCACAAGGGCGAGGGTCTGAACCGACATCATCGACTATGAACATATGAACATGAAGCCTTTTCCACCCAGACTGAACATCATGAACAACCCTTCCCAGCAGTAACTCTAACCCTCACTTGCTAGGGGCAGAACGACAGCGCCGCAAGAAGGGAACGCTCACCAGCTCATCCACCAGGAGCCTCCAGTGGGATAACATCCAATTCTGGGATACTCTAAGGCCTGCAGAGAAGAGCTCCGCATTCCCAAGGCGACAAGGGGACCCTCCTGGAAGCCCTGCGAAACAGTCAGATGTGGAACAGAAGCACCCCACCGGATGATGACTTCCGTCAGCATCTCGATGCATCTCGGATAGTCGAGGCTCAGGTCGTCAACCTGGCCTCAAAAGTCCAGACAAGGCTTTTCACACCTGCGTGGTGGGTTCTCCAGTTGTTTGAGTGTATGTGCGTGTGTGCGCGAGCGGCTACATAACGGGAAGTGATTCCGGTCGCACGGCCCTTAGCACTCTTCATCCCTCAACCTAAGGTGCAGGCTCAGCATTCGCGTGGTTCCCCACCTGGGACTAGGCTCGTGACTTAGACTCAAAACAACGGTCAGGGGCTACGCAAAGCTTTGGAAGCAAAAAACAACGATGGGAAGATGGGGCTGGGCATTCTGCAGTGGCTCCATGACCGACGCTGTACATCGCGGGTGAAGGGAGGAGCATCTCACGACGTAGCTACAATGTCAAAACATGAACGTGAAGTCGGCAACAGTCAGGGCAACCTGCAATTGAGAGACAGTAAACGGAGAAGCCGTGCAGCAGCAGGCCACTGGCTGAGATCCGCACTGGATGTCGTCCTGCAAGGAACAGCTCCAATGTCCATGCTTCCCAGTAGATTTGGCCGTCCGGAGCTTGGGGGGGCATTTGGCCAGAAACATGGCCAGCTGATGCTCATGATGCTCGCCCCCCGCCTCGTCCCATCTGCGCAGTCACTGGGGCGAAGGGTTTTGCAAGCGTCCGGAGCTTAGGGGCCGGAACTTAGGGGGATTTGGCCATAAACAGCTGATGCTCATGATGCTCGCCCCCCGCCTCGTCCCATCTGCGCAGTCACTGGGGCGAAGGGTTTTGCAAGCGTCCGGAGCTTAGGGGGGCATTTGGCCAGAAACATGGCCAGCTGTTGCTCATGAGGCTCGCCCCCCCGCCTCGTCCCATCTGCGCAGTCACTGGGGCGAAGGGTTTTGCAAGCGTCCAGAGCTTAGGGGGCATTCGGCCAGAAACATGGCCAGCTGATGCTCATGATGCTCGCCCCCCGCCTCGTCCCATCTGCGCAGTCACTGGGGCGAAGGGTTTTGCAAGCATCCGGAGCTTCGGGGGCATTTGGCCAGAAACATGGCCAGCTGATGCTCATGATGCTCGCCCCCCGCCTCGTCCCATCTGCGCAGTCACTGGGGCGAAGGGTTTTGCAAGCATCCGGAGCTTCGGGGGGCATTTGGCCAGAAACATGGCCAGCTGATGCTCATGATGCTCGCCCCCCGCCTCGTCCCATCTGCGCAGTCACTGCGGCGAGAGGTTTTGCAAGCGTCCGGAGCTTAGGGGGGCATTTGGCCAAAAACATGGCCAGCTGATGCTCATGATGCTCGCCCCCCGCCTCGTCCCATCTGCGCAGTCACTGGGGCGAAGGGTGTTAAATTTTGCAAGCGTCCGGAGCTTGGGGGGGCATTTGGCCAGAAACATGGCCAGCTGATGCTCATGATGCTCGCCCCCCGCCTCGTCCCATCTGCGCAGTCACTGGGGCGAAGGGTTTTGCAAGCGTCCGGAGCTTAGGGGGACATTTGGCCAGAAACATGGCCAGCTGATGCTCATGATGCTCGCCCCCCGCCTCGTCCCATCTGCGCAGTCACTGGGGCGAAGGGTTTTGCAAGCATCCGGAGCTTCGGGGGGCATTTGGCCAGAAACATGGCCAGCTGATGCTCATGATGCTCGCCCCCCGCCTCGTCCCATCTGGTTTTGCAAGCGTCCGGAGCTTAGGGGGGCATTTGGCCAGAAACATGGCCAGCAGATGCTCATGATGTTCGCCCCCCGCCTCGTCCCATCTGCGCAGTCACTGGGGCGAAGGGTTTTGCAAGTGTCCGGAGCTTAGGGGGGCATGTGGCCAGAAACATAGCCAGCTGATGCTCATGATGCTCGCCCCCCGCCTCGTCCCATCTGCGCAGTCACTGGGGCGAAGGGTTTTGCAAGCATCCGGAGCTTAGGGGGCATTTGGCCAGAAACATGGCCAGCTGATGCTCATGATGCTCGCCCCCCACCTCGTCCCATCTGCGCAGTCACTGGGGCGAAGGGGTTTGGCAAGCGTCCGGATCTTAGGGGGGCATTTGGCCAGAAACATGGCCAGCTGATGCTCATGATGCTCGCCCCCCGCTTCGTCCCATCTTCGCAGTCACTGGGGCGAAGGGTTTTGCAAGCGTCCGGGCTTCGGGGGGCATTTGGCCAGAAACATGGCCAGCTGATGCTCATGCTGTTCGCCCCCGCCTCGTCCCATCTGTGCAGTCACTGGGGCGAAGGGTTTTGCAAGCGTCCGCAGCTTAGGGGGGCATTTGGCCAGAAACATGGCCAGCTGATGCTCATGATGCTCGCCCCCCGCCTCGTCCCATCTGCGCAGTCACTGGGGCGAAGGGTGTTAAATTTTGCAAGCGTCCGGAGCTTTGGGGGGGCATTTGGCCAGAAACATGGCCAGCTGATGCTCATGATGCTCGCCCCCTGCCTCGTCCCATCTGCGCAGTCACTGGGGCGAAGGGTTTTGCAAGCGTCCGGAGCTTAGGGGGGCATTTGGCCAGAAACATGGCCAGCTGATGCTCATGATGCTCGCCACCCCGCCGTCCCATCTGCGCAGTCACTGGGGCGAAGGGTTTTGCTAGCGTCCGGAGCTTAGGGGGATTTGGCCATGAACAGCTGATGCTCATGATGCTCGCCCACCAATCTGTGCAATCACTGGGGCGAAGGGTTTTGCAAGCGTCCGGAGCTTAGGGGGGCATTTGGCCAGAAACATGGCCAGCTGATGCTCATGATGCTCGCCCCCCGCCTCGTCCCATCTGCGCAGTCACTGGGGCGAAGGGTTTTGCAAGCGTCCGGAGCTTAGGGGGGCATTGGCCAGAAACATGCAGCTGATGCTGCTCGCCTCCCGCCTCGTCCCATCTGCGCAGTCACTGGGGCGAAGGGTATGTGGCCAGAAACATGGCCAGCTGATGCTCATGATGCTCGCCCCTCGCCTCGTCCCATCTGCCCCGTCACTGGGGCGAAGGGTTTTGCAAGCGTCCGGAGCTTAGGGGGATTTGGCCATAAACAGCTGATGCTCATGATGCTCGCCCACCAATCTGTGCAATCACTGGGGCGAAGGGTTTTGCAAGCGTCCGGAGCTTAGGGGGGCATTTGGCCAGAAACATGGCCAGCTGATGTTCATGATGCTCGCCCCGCACCTCGTTCCATCTGCGCAGTCACTACTGGGGCGAAGGGTTTTGCAAGCATCCGGAGCTTAGGGGGCATTTGACCAGAAACACGGCCAGCTGATGCTCATGATGCTCGCCCCCCACCTCGTCCCATCTGCGCAGTCACTGGGGCGAAGGGGTTTGGCAAGCGTCCGGATCTTAGGGGGGCATTTGGCCAGAAACATGGCCAGCTGATGCTCATGATGCTTGCCCCCCGCTTTGTCCCATCTTCGCAGTCACTGGGGCGAAGGGTTTTGCAAGCGTCCGGAGCTTAGGGGGGCATTTGGCCAGAAACATCGCCAGCTGATGCTCATGATGCTCGCCCCTCGTCTTGTCCTCCCATCTGCGCAGTCACTGGGGCTCAGCAACGAACAATGCCTTATCCCAGGTCTAGTGAGGCTAATGTTCAGATTCCTATGCCTTACATGCAGTTGTGACAGTGACCTTTCGTACTCTGCCACGGATTCGGTATTCCTTCTTGAGATGACCTGTGAAATCCAGTGAGAATGGGTACGAAAGCCGCTGTCCAGCATCCGGCACCCTCATGTTGCTTCCGTGAAGTCCTTCGTGAGGACGCCGTTCGTACAAAGCCAATTGAGCAGCTGCAAGACTGCCTGCACTGCATCCAGGGTGGTTTTACAGGGGAAGGTGGGTTCGTATACAGGGCCTAAACATGCTTAGTATCCCACTAAACAGACTCGAAATGTGCTTATAGGGCAGAGACTAGAATTTGCTCAGTGTCCCACTATATGGGGTTTGTGTAGTGTCCCACTTTTTGGAGTCTAAATTTGCTTAGCGTCCCACTATAGAGGGTCGGAAATTGCTTAGTCTCCTATTTGCTTAGTGTTCCACTATATAGAATCTAAGTTGCTAAGTGTCCCACTTTTTGGAGCTGAAATCTGCTTATAGTATCCACCCCATTTGATAAAGTCAAAAAAAGTCAAAACTTGCTTAGTTTCCCACTATATAAGGCTCAAATTCGCTGAGTTTCCCACTATATAGGGTCTAATTTTTGGTAGTGTCCCACTATGTAAGGCCCCAAATTGTCTAGCAGTTCTAAATTAGCCTAGTGTCCGATGATCTAGGACCTAAATTTGCTTTGTGACCCATAATATAGCGCGCAAAAATGCTTCGTGTCCACTGTATATGGCCTGAAAGTTGCGTAGTGTCCTAAATTTGCTGAACGTCCTGCTTTTTAGGGTCGGAACGTGCTTAGTGTCCCATGACACGGGTCTAGATTTTGTTCAGTGCCCCACCCAAAATGCCATTAGTGCCCCACCACCATACAGGGAATTTGTCTAGTGTGCCACTATACAGGGTCTAATTTTCTTATCGGGTCGGAATTTGCTTTGTGTCGCGTTTGGAGCAAGCAGACCCGGATCGGGCCTCCTTCCCCCAAACCCCAACCCAACCCTTCACACAAAATTTGTGGCGGACTCCCCGATACCCCCCCCCCCATATCGCTTGAGGAGCTGCAAACCGACGTCGTGGAGGGTCCCGAACGGACCACAAAAAACCCACAAAACCCACCCCCCCCAATCCCCACCCAACCCCCCCCACGCCCCCACCCCGCCCACCCCCCCCCCACCAAGAAACCCTCTTTCCTCCTTTCCTGTCCTGGGGCCGGGCTGCCGAGGCGGCGCGCGTTCACAATTGGCATAGTTTCCCACTACCCAGCCAAAATTTGCTTAGGGTCCCAGTAGAAAGGGCTCAAATTCGGTGTGGGTGGAGAGTGCGCGCTAACCGCGCGTAAAGCCAGGGAGACTAACAGCGCAAAGGCGCGCGGCGCTAGCCGCGCATTGCCGGGCACTGTCTACGCGTAGCGGTTTTTTTTTTTTTTTTGGGGGGGGGGGGCTTGAGGATTGAGGGCTACCGGGAGGAGGTGAGAGACATAAGGAAGGTTCTGAAGAAAGAAATTACCGTATGTTCCAGAGGTTAGGGGGAGTCGATGGGCGGACGAGCTGCTTGACCAGGGAATTGAAAGCATCATCGAACATGCCACCATCTCAAGGATAGTTTCAGGTGAGTAGTTTCCCTTATAAGGGTCTTATAAGAGGCTGAGATAAACCCTATGCTGTATATAAGAGTCCTATATAAACAGTAACTCCCCACCTGAAACTGCCCTTAAATAATTTTTGTGACGATGTGTGCACGGCTCGGCTTCATAACCGGTCTGGCGCTGTCTATGCCCATCAGCAGGTCAACGATTCTCGCGATGCCCTCTGCAGGATGAAGCCTGCAAGGCTGCTGGCTTGCGTAAGATTTCGGCCTGTGGTTGAAGGGTCAATATTCTCAAGCTTCGGGGTGGAGAGTTTAGTTGGGTTGAAAGTTTTGTTTTAGAGAACGGCCTGCCTGCGTATAAGATTTCGGGCTTGAATGTTTTCAAGCTTCAAGGTGGAGAGTTTAGTTGGGGTTGAAATTTTTTTTGGAAAAACGGCTTGGCTGCGTATAAGATTTCGGGCTTGGTGTTGAAGGGTCCATGGTCTCTATCAAAGGCGCTTAAGCTTCCATGAGGTTGCCTAAGATCCCCCCTGCCTAGAAACTCCAACAAGTTGGAACATCCTGTCCCCATACTTCAAAAGGTATCCCAAAGAGGATCCCAGGCATAATCATCCTGAAGCCAACTTCTGGAAATTACTGCAGGGGTTGAAGGCTGAACTTGAGGGGTGTGCTTCATCCCCCCTTTTCGGCCGCAGTGTGTTGTTCTTTGGTCGAGAACGGCTTGGCTGCGTGACGGTATGGTGGCGTCCATCAGCAGCCCAAACAACTCTGCTGACGCCCTATGCACGATCAAGCCGGCAAGGCTTTCGGTTTCCATAAGATTCCGGGATTGGGGTTTCAGGGTTTGTTTCGGTTAAGCGGTTGGGGATGGAAAGACACCGTCTCACCTTGGCCGGCGGTCAGACCTACGCGGCGCGGAACGAGACCCAGACCTAGCCCCACGTGGCGCGGACCGAGACCGCGCCGCCCGCTGCGGAGGCAGAACTCTATCAGGCCTGCGCTCCGGCAAAGGTGCTCCTACATCGGCCTCAGGCAACGGCACAGGAACATAACAATCGGGCCTTTTGCGCTTCTTGGCCTGCTGAGGGGGACGGGCTGGCCGAACACGCACGGAGGAACCGTCCGACTCCAAGTCACGGGGTGCATCTTCATGGTGAGGCAGGACAGGTTTCAACCATGTCTCCAGCTTCAACTTGTGACGGACGTAGTACGCATGTGGACAATGTCCACGACGTCGGAAGTGCCAACATGTGCATGAGGTCGACGCCGGCTTTTGCCCTCTTGTTGGTAAGTGCATCACCACGGCGTGCCGGAGCCAAAAGTTGCGCAAGACATCCAAACAGATTTTCTTGCTCTCCTGGGTTTCCACGACGACGCCGTGACGGCATAGCATCTCCTCCAGCGTGTCCAAGTTCTTGGTCTGGATTTGGCCCCAGAGCTGCTCCACCACTTGGCTGTCCATGGGAGCCGGCTGACCAACTTTCATCAAGAAGCACTTGCATTGGCCTCGCGGCTTCTCGATGATGCAGCGTTCATCTTGAGAGTACGCCTCGCAGGGCTCTATGATCAGGTCCCTCCCTCAATGTGCACGCGCATATTCTTCTTGATTTCAGGCGCTAACCCGCCCACAGATACGGAATCTCGGAAGAACCCGCGCGCCGATCCCGTGAGGCCGCCTCTACTTCCCGCAAGTCAGGGGTAGAAGGGGGAACTCCAATCACGGACCTTTAATCGTGTTCATTACACAACCGTTTAAACACCCTTTAATAGTTCACAGTACGCCTCGTAGGGCTCTATGAGTAGGTCCCTCCCTCAATGCGCACGCACATATTCTTCCTAATTTCAGGCGCTGACCCGCCCAGAGATACGGAATTTCGGAAGAACCCGCGCGCCGATCCCGCGAGGCCGCCTTTACTTCCCTCAATTCAGGGGCAAAAGGGGGAACTCCTATCAGGGACCTTTAATCGTATTCGCTTACACAACCGCTTAAAAACCCTTTGAAAGTTCAGGCGTTGATTTGCACGACAGAACGCGTCAGGCCTCCTGGATGCGGGCGATGGTCGGCAGTAGCTGCACATTCGCGCCGGGGCAACGTCGTTGATATAGCTGGCTGCCAGCCAACATCCACTCATCAGGACAGCATGGTCTTGACGCGCAATGCCCCGGAGGGGTAAAGAGTGTGTAAGCAGCCTCGTCTGTGGTGCGAGTTGCCGACCACAGGTCAATACTCTCCTTCAAGGAATCGAGGACTTGCAACAAGCTTCTCTCCGGAGAGTCTGTCAGGCAGCGTTTGACTTGCTTGTGACACTGCTCTGGCGTTTGCATTGATGGTGGATGGCCCGGAGATATAGTGCTTGTGCTCCCATAATGCCAGCGTGCCATCAAGGCCTCACCGACACCAAACGTCTCTGCGGGCAGTCTCGCTCTGTACAAGTACTGCTTCACAAAAAATTGATGGAACTCGGGTTCGTTCCAGCCATTCTTCATGCGATCCAAGAACACACGCAAAGTCACAATGAACAAGCTCATCGTTGGTAAGAGGGCCAGCATGTTCAGGTAGGACTTGACGACCCCAACATCCCTGGATTTCAAGCGAGGAACACGCACTTTCTCCCCGTCCTCCGTAGCCAGACTGGTTTTGGCCATGTTCTGGAACATGTGTTCCATGTCCGGAACCCACAGGCTTGTTTCCAGCACCACTGGTCCCAGTCCTGGCGCCCAGTCTGTCCCAACCTGGGACACAGGAGGCAACTGCAGGCGCCGGATCTCCGCCATCAGTGCTGTCAAGCACCTTCCGTACATCTCCGGTCGCTCAGACGCATGACGGGCTACCATGATGGGGAAACCAGATCGACGCCACAGATCCTGGCGGTGCTTGCCCCGCGTTTTCAAGAAACGATGTAGTCCTGCGGTTACCACATGGTACCTCAAGATCCGCGTTGCCAAAAAATCAAAGAACTTCTTACGGCAGCATTCTAGACACTATTTATCTTCTGTCCTTACAGCACCGAGACACTTGAACCCCTCCACTTCGACATCGAAGGTCGCATCAGCATTCAAGCGCAGTTCCTGCAGGCGCCCTTGCTGCTGCAGGCGGCGAAGCTCTGCGAGCATTGGTGGGAACGTAGCCACAAAAGTTCCCTGTGGTGTGGTCCAAATAAACTTCAAAGACTTCGTGTCGTCAGTATGTGCCCGGACATATTCCTGCCATGCCTCCAGAGTGACCTCGATGATCTGCCGTTTGCGGGCAACGCTTTTGGCTGGAGGAGCTCTTTTGGCCGCGCGCTCTGGAGCCAACTTCTTGGTGAGGTATCGTAAGGAATCTGCATTCACGGGCGAGGCCCCTTGCGCGACCAACTTCCTGGCCACATGCGACGGAGTCACACTTTCCTTGTCTGCGACCAACTCGCTGATGGCCAGCTGGATACCTTTTCTGTGCGCCACGGTCGGCGGCGACTCTTGCTTTGAGTCTGCACGCAGAACACGCGGGGTCTCGCCACATGAGCCTGACTTCCAAACGGAAAGCTCCACTTGCACACGAGCTTTGTCGTCAGATAGCACAGTTTGACCTCGAAGTTGAAAGGAGGCGCCCTTGCGCGCTTTACACTCTTTGTGCTCGCTGCAGTAGCACGTAGAGCGCCATTCCTGCCCCGTCCTCCAGGGCGTTGCCAAGGCTCCCACTTCAAGGCCAGCATAAGGCCCAGCCATCCACGTTTGGCAGCATTCTTTGAAGGCTGCCAGCGTAATGTCCGTCGCAAACAAGACTCTGTCCTTTTCCGGTACTTGAACAGTGCGGCTGAAACCCTCGCAAGGTGTGTCGTAGGTCCTACTCTGCCTGCGCCTCTTCGAACTCGAAGCATCGTCTTGCCCGGGAGCCGCAGGTGGAAGCGGCTCGGCCATGTCCCGTGCACATTCTGGGGTTCTACCTTTGACCCTTAAGGCTGTACCCTTGGGTTTTGGGCTTGGACCCTTAAGCTTGTACCCTTGGGTTTTGGGCAAACTCTAGGGGTTCTACCTTGGACCAGGTTGTGCCCATTGGTTTGGGGCAACTTCCAGGGGTTCTACCTTGGACCCTATGGTTGTACCCTTGGCTTTGGGGAACCCTTGCAAAAGATTCCTAGGGGAAATAAGGGCCATATGAGGGGTATATAATCTGGCTGTGGCCGCAGCCTAATGTGAGCAACCAGGCATACAAGCAACGGTCGATTCTCAACACGCGTCCATAACCGGAGAACTGCAACCCAGGCATGGCTACTGCACAATCTGCAGGACTCCCCGGGCCTTCAAGGTGCACTTCTTCCGGGTTTTCTTTCCCAGGCCCTGGCACGAACAATGGGCATGTTAAGAGACTGCAGCCAGTTGCAAAAGCCAGGAGCCAGTATTATGATGAGGTTGACATGACTGTGATAGTTCTTCTGTCAGTCGAAGTTACTTCAGAATTCGCAGTCGTGCGCATACTTTCTGCAAAAATCTTTGAAGGGCCTGCGGCGGAGCTGCTTGCAGCACTTCCTGATCAAGTGTGAAGCAGTCACAAATGAGTCTGGTGGCTGCAGCTGATGCTCGCTCAGGTCTCCACGCAAGACAAGTCAGACAGCTCTTCAACCTGACACGTTTGTTGCATCAACTGCTCTGCCTCAAAAGATCAACTGGAGCGCCTCTTTGCATGGTGGAGAGTTCCCGATCTCCACAAGTGGCACCTGCAAAGCCACACCGGCTTTCAAGCGTTCGGCTGCCTGGAAAGCGGGCTCCTGCCCAAGCTTTAGGGTCTCTGCTACCACGTCCTTTTCGCTCTTGGCCGTACGTGCGCCAAGGCTTGCGCTGCCGTTGGCAGGTCTGTCAAGGTATACTTTTGCAGATCACGACGAAAGGAAAGTACACGGCACTGCAGAGAAATCCCGGCGCTCATGAACCTGTTTGCAGGGAGGGCTTGGAGGGCTTGGGGTTCAGCGTGTAGGGTTTTTAAGTGTTGGGTAGATTTAAAAGGGTGTTTGTAGAGGGGGGTTTGGGGGTCTGGGGTTTCCAATTTTTGCTTTGGCCGTTTAGAGCCTCAGAGTCGGTCTATGTTCACAAGGGTTGTTAGGGTCTGGGTTCCTTCGGTGGGTTGCGGGGTTTGGCCCCAAACCCTAAACCCTCAACCTGAATTAGACCTCAGGCCTGAAACCCTAAACTGTGACGGTTTCAGGCTTTGGGTGGCTTGAGGGGCTTCGGCTTGCAGGGTGGTCTCAGTTCTTTGTTTGGGTCTCGAAGCCAAACCACTGCGAGCTTGCGGCGAAGCATCGCAACGGATACATCCAAGAGGAGGTGGCCCACTGGCGCTTAAAGGCGCTGCGCTAGTCTGCCTTTACCCTAAGATTCGGCCAGAAGCCTCGTTGTGACTTAGTCTACTCTAGCGTCTGTACGGGGAAGTGAGTCAGGAAGAACGCATGAAGTGCTTTGCGAAGCAAACCAGCTCCCCAACTTTCGGCCATGACTCCGCCCAAAACTGCTGCGTATCTGCAAGGTTCGGAGGTTCTCCTACACACGGCTAGACCCTACCTCACCCGACTCCAGTTTGGCAGCCTCCAGTGTTCTCGCCAGAGTGGAGCACCTTGCCACCATCTTCGAGTCTTCCTCTTCCACCATGTCCTTCTTGCTCGGGTACATGGGTTTGAATTCAAACTTCGGATTAAGAATCTCGGTTGAGGGTTGGAGTGGAGAGTTGACAGGTCTGCCGTGCTTCATTGTCCTTTCTCCCCGCCGGAGACGACCACGTCGGAGTCGTCATCAAGGCCTACCGGACAGCTATCAGACAGCTTCGCGAGTGTCATTGAGGGTACACATGGGGCTTGGGCTCAAGCTTGGGATGTGAACAGGTGGGAGTTGAGAGACGTCAGGGCTTCGGCGTCCTGCTTCCCCGTCGGAGCCGGGCACTTCGTCACCATGTTCGAGTCGCTCATCACGTTCTAAACATGGGGGCTTGGGCTCAAGCTTGGGATTAACACGTCAGGGCTGCAGTGCTTCGGCGTCCTCCTTCCCCGCCGGAGTCGAGCACTTCGGCACCGTTTTCGAGTCGCCCATCAACGCCTACCGGAGAGCTGTGAGACGGTCTCCATGCTTTTGGGCGTGTCATTGAGGGTACATGGAGTTTGGGCTAGGGGTGCGGGGCACAGGCTTGGGCTGAAAGTTGGGGCTGAAGTATAAGCAAGAGGTGCGCAGCCTCCGTTTTTGCGGCCCCCAGCTCGAGCCTGGCCGCACGGTTGGGTTTAAGGGTTTGGGTCACGGTTGCAGGCTGAGGGCCGTCGCCCAAAGTCCGACCCCTGCCTGCCTCCCGGCTTCTTTTGCAAGTCGGTTTCTCTGCAGGAGCCTGGCAGACGCGGGTCGTTACGGCCTCACAAACTCTGGGCGAGAAGACAGATACCCATAGCCTCCCCTTGCCCACAAGCATCACGGAGACGAGCTTGGAGCTGAGCCTCCCCCACGCGCTCCCCACGCAGCATGAGCCCTGACGGATTTGGCAGGACGGCCTTCTTGCCGCTCACGGGTAAGCCCAAAACACGAAGCTTCTCCTGGAGCTCCGGAACCTGCGAGACCGACAACACACGCGCGGGCCGGACAAGGTCGAGGCACGCAGCTGTCCTTCAACTGGTCAACGTCTACCTGCCCAAAGGCAGACATTGTCAAGCAAACAGCGTGAAAGTCAGCCAAGCAAGAGTAGACAGCCTCCTCTCCTCCAGAGGCATGACGGAGACGAGCTTGGAGCTGAGCCTGCCCGCGTGGAGAAAAACAGCCGATGTTATGGCAGAACGGCCTTCTTCCCCGTCGTGGGCAAGCCCAAAAGACCAAGCTTCTCTTGGAGCTCCGGAACCTTGAGCTGGTCGATCTCAACCTGCCCAAGCAGGCTGACATATCAAGCGCAAGGCTGAGAGCCGAGGCAGAGAACCTCAGCGGGGCCCGGCTCTTGCTTCTCAACGTCAGCAAGCTTCCGCTTTCTGGATGCCGCAGTGGCCATGGTTTTTTGAACCATCCTCGCGGCCAGCACGCTCTCCTTCTTCTCGGAGGAGCTCTCCAAAGGGATTTGGTGCAAACGGGCGCCTGTCGTGCCACATGTCTTCTGCGGTGCCCGCAGCACCTCCTGCTCTGTGTATCCGCGGTCAAGCCAGTGTCTCATCGGTCGCCAAGGTTTCTTCACAAGATGCTGCTGGCTGGCACGAACAACGAGTGTAACTTGCTTGATAAGGAGGTGCTTGACCTTGTCAAAAGCCAAAGGGCCCCCGACTTCTCCCCTCAAAGCGGCCACGCTGCAGAAAAAAGCCGCAGAGTGTTGCGGATCGTCCAGCATGAGGTCGGAGTTCAGGTCACTGAGTGTGAGGTCGTGGGCGCGGAGGGAAGCAAGAACATTCCAACAAGAGCGGCAGGTCTTCTCGCCGCGGTGAGGCGCTGCCGGAGGCTCGTTGAGGTCTCGCACGCAAAGCCGGCAACGAAAAGCAACGGCCTCGTGCTTCTGCGCGGCCTTCTCAAAAGGGCTTGATGTTAGAGCTGGATTTTGGGATGTGCGGGGACGTGCGGGGGATGTGTGGGGCCCCCTTATAAAGGCACCCGGAAAACCTCCCAAAAAGGGCTTGATTTTAGGGGTGTGGATTTTGGGATGCGCCGGGATGTGCGGGGGATGTGCGGGGGATGTGCGCGGATGTGCGGGCCATGTGTGGGGCCCCTTAAAAGGCACCTGGAAAACCCCCCAAAAAGGGCTTGATTTTAGGGGTGGATTTTGGGACGCACGGGGATGTGCGGGGGATGTGCGGGGGATGTGCGGGGATGTGCGGGCGATGTGTGGGGCCATGTGTGGGGCCCCTTAAAAGGCACCTGGAAAACCCCCCAAAAAGGGCTTGATTTTAGGGGTGGATTTTGGGATGCGCGGGGATGTGCGGGGGATTGCGGGGGATGTGCGGGGATGTGCGGGCGATGTGTGGGGCCCCTCGGGGTATACCTGAAAAACCGCGTGTGGTGCCCCTTGGGAGGCACCTGAAAAACCCCTCAAAAGGGCTTGATTTCAGAGCTGGATTTTAGGATGCGCGGGGACGTGCGGGGGTTGTGCGGGGGATGTGCGCGGATGTGCAGGTCATGTGTGGGGCCCCCTTAAAGGCACCCGGAAAACCCCCCAAAAAGGGCTTGATTTTAGGGGTGGATTTTGATGCGCGGGGGATGCGCGGGGGATGTGCGCCGATGTGCGGGCCATGTGTGGGGCCCCTTTTAAAGGCACCTGGAAAACTCCCCAAAAAGGGCTTGATTTTAGGGGTGGATTTTGGGATGCGCGGGGATGCGCGGGGGATGCGCGGGGGATGCGCGGGGGATGTGCGGGGGATGTGCGGGGATGTGCGGGCGATGTGTGGGGGAGGCACCTGGAAAACCCCCCCAAAAAGGGCTTGATTTTAGGGGTGGATTTTGGGATGTGCGGGGGATGTGCGGGGGATGTGCGGGGATGTGCGGGCGATGTGTGGGGCCCCTCGACATATACCTGAAAAACCGCGTGCAGTGCCCCTTGGGAGGCACCTGAAAAACCCCTCAAAAGGGCTTGATTTTAGAGCTGGATTTTAGGATGCGCGGGGACGTGCGGGGGTTGTGCGGGGGATGTGCGCGGATGTGCGGGCCATGTGTGGGGCCCCTGAAAAGGCGCCTGGAAAACTCCCCAAAAAGGGCTTGATTTTAGGGGTGGATTTTGGGATGCGCGGGGG